TTTCAATTTTTCAACTTTTCACTTCAATTTCTAGATTTTGCAATTTTTCGATTTGAGTTTCTCGACCTTTCAAGTTTTAATTTTTCCTATAAAGTAAAAACCGGTGGTGTGAATAACGTTCCCGGAGCTAATTAGACTTGAATTTTTTCTTCAATTGTCATTTTTTTTGTTCCTTCATTTTTTTGAGTTTTGAAGTTTAAATTTAATTTTTCAATTTTTCAAGCTTTCAATTCAATTTCTAGATTTTGCAATTTTTCGATTTGAGTTTCTCGAGTTTTCACTTTTAATTTTTCAATTTTTCAAGCTTTCAATTCAATTTTTATATTTTGCAGTATTCGATTTGAAATTTCACCAGTTTTCAATTTTTAATTTTTCAAATTTTAGATTTTTTTGATTCACATTAGGAGTACAGTCCAAAATTAGTAAATAATAGACTCACTTTATAATTTTTATTATAATATCTCTTGTTCTTTGCGGCAAAAAATTGTTGATAGAAAACTATGTATATAAAAAAAAACAAAAATTAAGCCCCACCCACTCTCCCCGATCTCTATTGTGATGAGTCATAATCAGACGAGGGGCGGAGTTTAATTGTGACATATTTCTAGAAAATTCTACCCTTTTAAAGACATATTTCATATGGTAATTTCTTGTAGAGAAACGAGAATTTTGCAGCTAAACTCCGCCCCCTTTAACTCACGATGAATAAAACATTCATCAGAATTGCGAAGGGGTGGGTGGGCGGGGTTTATATTTTCCCAATAAGAAACTGACAATATGTTTAACCATTCTGTTGTTGAAAGAAAACTCTATATATTAAAAAAAAAAACAAACAGAAATTGAGCCCCACCCACCCGCCCGATCTCAATTGCGATGAGCTTTTCATTCCTAGTCAGACCGAAGGGCAGAGTTTAATTGTAACATCAATATTTCTCTAAAAAATTCCTTTTACAGATGTTGAAGTATTTTTTGTGATGGCAAAAGTAATTATAAGTCCCGGGAAAGTTTGTAGGCCGAGGGGCGGAGTTTAATTGTGACATATTATTTCTCTAGAAAATTCTACCCTTTTAAAGACATATTTCATATGGTAATTTCTTCTAGAGAAACGAGAATTTTGCAGCTAAACTCCGCCCCCTTTAACTCACGATGAATAAAACATTCATCAGAATAGCGAAGGGGTGGGTGGGCGGGGCTTATATTTTCCCAATAAGAAACTGACAATATGTTTAACCATCCTGTTGTTGAAAGAAAACTCTATATATTAAAAAAAAAAAAAAATTAACCCCCACCTACCCGCCCGATCTCAATTCCGATGAGTTTTTCATTCCTAGTCAGACCGAAGGGCGGAGTTTAATTGTAACATCAATATTTCTCTAAAAAACTCCTTTTACAGATATTGAAGTATTTTTTGTGATGGCAAAGGTAATTATAAGTCCCGCGAAAGTTTGTAGGCCGAGGGGCGGAGTTTAGTTGTGACATATTATTTCTCTAGAAAATTCTACCCTTTTAAAGACATATTTCATATGGTAATTTCTTGTAGAGAAACGAGAATTTTGCAGCTAAACTCCGCCCCCTTTAGCTCACGATGAATAAAACATTCATCAGAATTGCGAAGGGGTGGGTGGGCGGGGCTATATTTTCCCAATAAGAAACTGACAATATGTTTAACCATCCTGTTGTTGAAAGAAAACTCTATATATTAAAAAAAAAACAAACAAAAATTAAGCACCACCCACCCGCCCGATCTCAATTGCGATGAGCTTCTCATTCCTAGTCAGACCGAAGGGCGGAGTTTAATTGTAACATCAATATTTCTCTAAAAAATTCCTTTTACAGATATTGAAGTATTTTTTGTGATGGCAAAAGTAATTATAAGTCCCGGGAAAGTTTGTAGGCCGAGGGGCGGAGTTTAATTGTGACATATTATTTCTCTAGAAAATTATACCCTTTTAAAGACATATTTCATATGGTAATTTTTTGTAGAGAAACGAGAATTTTGCAGCTAAACTCCGCCCCCTTTAACTCACGATGAATAAAACATTTATCAGAATTGCGAAGGGGTGGGTGGGCGGGGCTTATATTTTCCCAATAAGAGACTGACAATATGTTTAACCATCCTGTTGTTGAAAGAAAACTCTATATATTAAAAAAAAAAAAACAAAAATTAAGCCCCACCCACCCGCCTGATCTCAATTGCGATGAGTTTTTCATTCCTAGTCAGACCGAAGGGCGGAGTTTAATTGTAACATCAATATTTCTCTAAAAAATTCCTTTTACAGATATTGAAGTATTTTTTGTGATGGCAAAAGTAATTATAAGTCCCGGGAAAGTTTGTAGGCCGAGGGGCGGAGTTTAATTGTGACATATTATTTCTCTAGAAAATTCTCCCCTTTTAAAGACATATTTCATATGGTAATTTCTTTTAGAGAAACGAGAATTTTGCAGCTAAACTCCGCCTCCTTTAGCTCACGATGAATAAAACATTCATCAGAATTGCGAAGGGGTGGGTGGGCGGGGCTTATATTTTCCCAATAAGAAACTGACAATATGTTTAACCATCCTGTTGTTGAAAGAAAACTCTATATATTAAAAAAAAAACAAACAAACATTAAGCCCCACCCACCCGCCCGATCTCAATTGCGATGAGTTTTACATTCCTAGTCAGACCGAAGGGCGGAGTTTAATTGTAACATCAATATTTCTCTAAAAAATTCCTTTTACAGATATTGAAGTATTTTTTGTGATGGCAAAAGTAATTATAAGTCCCGGGAAAGTTTGTAGGCCGAGGGGCGGAGTTTAATTGTGACATATGATTTCTCTAGAAAATTCTACCCTTTTAAAGACATATTTCATATGGTAATTTCTTGTAGAGAAACGAGAATTTTGCAGCTAAACTCCGCCCCCTTTAACTCACGATGAATAAAACATTCATCAGAATTGCGAAGGGGTGGGTGGGCGGGGCTTATATTTTCCCAATAAGAAACTGATAATATGTTTAACCATCCTGTTGTTGAAAGAAAACTCTATATATTAAAAAAAAAAAAAAAACAAAAATTAAGCCCCACCCACCCGCCCGATCTCAATTGCGATGAGTTTTTCATTCCTAGTCAGACCGAAGGGCGGAGTTTAATTGTAACATCAATATTTCTCTAAAAAATTCCTTTTACAGATATTGAAGTATTTTTTGTGATGGCAAAAGTAATTATAAGTCCCGGGAAAGTTTGTAGGCCGAGGGGCGGAGTTTAATTGTGACATATTATTTCTCTAGAAAATTTTACCCTTTTAAAGACATATTTCATATGGTAATTTCTTGTAGAGAAACGAGAATTTTGCAGCTAAACTCCGCCCCCTTTAACTCACGATGAATAAAACATTCATCAGAATTGCGAAGGGGTGGGTGGGCGGGGCCTATATTTTCCCAATAAGAAACTGACAATATGTTTAACCATCCTGTTGTTGAAAGAAAACTCTATATATTAAAAAAAAATAACAAAGAAAAATTAATTTTAAATTATAAGTATTTTTGCGATGGAAAAAGTAATTATAAGATCCGGGAAAGTTTGTAGGCCGAGGGGCGGAGTTTAATTGTGACATAATATTTCTCTAGAAAATTCTACCCTTTCAAAGACATATTTCATATGGTAATTTCTTGTAGAGAAACGAGAATTTTGCAGCTAAACTCCGCCTCCTTTAGCTCACGATGAATAAAACATTCATCAGAATTGCGAAGGGGTGGGCGGGCGGGGCTTATATTTTCCCAATAAGAAACTGACAATATGTTTAACCATCCTGTTGTTGAAAGAAAACTCTATATATTAAAAAAAAAACAAACGAAAATTAAGCCCCACCCACCCGCCCGATCTCAATTGCGATGAGTTTTTCATTCCTAGTCAGACCGAAGGGCGGAGTTTAATTGTAACATCAATATTTCTCTAAAAAATTCCTTTTACAGATGTTGAAGTATTTTTTGTGATGGCAAAAGTAATTGCAAGTCCCGGGAAAGTTTGTAGGCCGAGGGGCGGAGTTTAATCGTGACATATTATTTCTCTAGAAAATTCTACCCTTTTAAAGACATATTTCATATGGTAATTTCTTGTAGAGAAACGAGAATTTTGCAGCTAAACTCCGCCCCCTTTAGCTCACGATGAATAAAACATTCATCAGAATTGCGAAGGGGTGGGTGGGCGGGGCTTATATTTTCCCAATAAGAAACTGACAATATGTTTAACCATCCTGTTGTTGAAAGAAAACTCTATATATTAAAAAAAAACAAACGAAAATTAAGCCCCACCCACCCGCCCGATCTCAATTGCGATGAGCTTTTCATTCCTAGTCAGACCGAAGGGCGGAGTTTAATTGTAACATCAATATTTCTCTAAAAAATTCCTTTTACAGATATTGAAGTATTTTTTGTGATGGTAAAAGTAATTATAAGTCCCGGGAAAGTTTGTAGGCCGAGGGGCGGAGTTTAATCGTGACATATTATTTCTCTAGAAAATTCTACCCTTTTAAAGACATATTTCATATGGTAATTTCATGTAGAGAAACGAGAATTTTGCAGCTAAACTCCGCCCCCTTTAGCTCACGATGAATAAAACATTCATCAGAATTGCGAAGGGGTGGGTGGGCGGGGCTTATATTTTCCCAATAAGAAACTGACAATATGTTTAACCATCCTGTTGTTGAAAGAAAACTCTATATATTAAAAAAAAATAACAAAGAAAAATTAATTTTAAATTATAAGTATTTTTGCGATGGAAAAAGTAATTATAAGATCCGGGAAAGTTTGTAGGCCGACATCCCCTCTCGGCTCGTCGTTTCTCCATAGCACGCTTTTCCACGTTTCTCGTTAAATTCCTCGTCGTACAAAAAGCATGTATTCCAGCCGCGTGCGAGCTCGGCTCCCCGGAACTACAGCGTCTTTGAAAACTTTCAAATTTCCCCACTCGTGAGAAAAACATCACTTTACCGGCCACACGGCTGACTAACTAGCACCTTACTTCGGCAATATGTCGCACCCCTGCTGCATGATCGATCCCAAGGTCAGCCAGTAGCAATTCCTTATGTTCCAGACGTTCTCCAGTTGTTCGGGACAGGGATTGCAGGGGTGAGGATTCTCCCATTCGTTAGGATTCAACCTGTAATAAATTCGCGTCTGAACTGAATGGGAAAAAAATGATTTAATTTCGCGTTTACGATGCGAATATTGAAATGAAATGTCGCGGTTATAAAAGGAGGGACGCGCCTTTTTACTGCGTGGATTTATTGGAGACGAAATTTTATGGGAAGGAACTTACCTTGCGACGAGAAAAATAATCATGGAAATAACCATATATGCTGTAACCATATAAAGCCAAACGTCGAGAGATAAAGGATTGGTGAAAGCCAGGAGTTCGGGGGGTTCTTTAACGATTTTGGCGTAGAGAATGCTGATGCCTGGAATAAAACGGACGACGAGGAAGATTTAACGCCGGCTGATTAACATATTTCTGGAAATGTAATCTTACACGTTTGTATAAATGCAGATGGGGTTTAAGCGATACGTAAATGAGTTTTAAGGGGATGCTGGGACCTACCGAGGGTCATGAAAGGGTTGGTGAAGTCCACGGCTTTTCTTCGCTCGTAGGTGGTTGTTAAGTCGCATATGGCTAAGTCGGCTTTCTGGAAACGATCCGGCTACTAAATCCCCCAAGCATAAAAAGTCTACTTACTCTATCCAACAAGTGTCTGATTAACCCGTTCCATTCTTTCGTCTTGGGGTCGTACTTTCCGTAATTGTTGTCCGGAACCAACTCAAAAGCGTAATTACATTCGTACAGTTTGCAAATTCCGTCCATCAGGTCCATCGCGTACCCTTCAAACGCATTATTCCCACTCATCACGCTCCCATCAACGCCAGCTTTCCTCGACAAATAAGGCGGATAAATTCTAAAACCCACAACCGTAGAAAAATTTCCACCCCAACTTCGCGCCTCACCTCGACACCACCCTAAACGTCCTCCCCTTCAGTTGCCGGTACATCTCCTTCTCCCTATCTTCGGACGTAATCGTCGAATGGATAACATCCGGATTATTAGAATCCCACGTGCCCGTAACCCTCAAGCGCTGGTTTTTTAATTCCATAACTTCTAATTTAAACGAAATTCGCTGTCCCAGCGAATTAAACACCAGAGGTCCGGACATGGGTCCCGCCAGCATCCCTCGCGACATGTTGCTCTGGAAATTCCTTTTTCAGAACGCACACCGCAGGGATTTCAAATTAATTAGCAAATCGAGTCCAGTTTGTCTAGCTTTGCTGTTTGTACGGTTTAATTGAGTACTTTACCAGCGCAATGAAAGCTGCTAATCGATAACCGTGTGTGGAAATTTCAGTCGTATCGCAGCTGAGCGGCTTCACGAGCAGTTCTTCGGTTTGCTCCAGTTCGGAGTAGGATGTGATGAATAAATTGAGAGCGTCGTACAAGAGAGCCGTCTTTACCTGCAACGGGAAACGCACAGGTGTAGCGAGGGTTGTCTAAGCGCGAGGAAGGTGACGGGGGCTAAGTCTGGGGTGGATGGTGGCGGACTGCAAATTACGCAGAAGATTAGAGTGATTTTAGGGTAAAAAAAAACAAAGTAGGTCGTAAAAGTGGCGATAAAAACGAGGACTTAGGAAAAATAAATTTTACGCAACGTCTGGTTTTCTTTGAGGTGTACATTTATTTTATTATTTTGCATAATCAGCGATCCTAATCTTCGTTAAAATTTGCATAACAGATTGTTTTTAACATTGCTCTACTATACACAATTAAGGTCAGCCTAATGATCTTTAATCTAGTTATGTTTGTTTTTAAAATGGTTAAAATTGGTCCAATCCACCGTAAATTAGTATCAAATTCTAGATAAGCTTCCGTTAGTTACGAATCTGAAATCGGCGTCACCATATCTGGTTCATTAAATTCTAAAAGTGATTCCAAAATTTCCAAATTTTTTCCAAACAAGTGGTTAAAATTTGTTCAATCGACCGAAAATTGGTGTCATAATAGATAATTTCCTGCTGGTTACGAATCTGAAATCGCCGTCACGATATCTCTTTCAATAACCACGAAAAATGAATTAAAATTTCCAAAAATTTTCCAAAAAAGTGGTTAAAATTGGTTTAGCCAACCGAAAATTGGTGTCAAATTGTTGATAATTTCCCGCTGGTTATGAATCTGAAATTGCCGTTACGATATTTCTCTCGATAACCACGAAAAGTGCATTCAAAATTTCCAAAAATTTTCCAAAAAAGTGGTTAAAATTGGTTCAATGGACCGAAAATTGGTGTCAAATTGTAGATAATTTCTCGCTGGTTACGAAACTGAAATCGCCGTCACGATATCTCTTTTAATAACCACGAAAAATGAAGTCAAAGTTTCCAAAAATTTTCCAAAAAAGTGGTTAAAATTGGTTCAAACGACCGAAAATTGGTGTCAAATTGTGGATAATTGTCCGCCGGTTACGAATCTGAAATCGCCGTCAAGATATATCTTTTAATAACCACGCAAAATGAGTTCAAAATTTCCAAAAATTTTCCAAAAAAGTGGTTAAAATTGGTTCAATCGACCGAAAATTGGTGTCAAATTGTAGATAATATTCCGCTGGTTACGAATTTCTAATCGCCGTCACGATCTCTCTTTCAATAACCACGAAAAGTAAATTCAAAATTTCCAAAAATGTTCCAAAAAAGTGGTTAAAGTTGGTTCAATCGACTGGAAATTGGTGTCAAATTGTAGATAATTCAACGCTAATTACGAATCTGAAATCGCCGTTACGATATCTCTTTCAATAACCACGAAAAGTGCATTCAAAATTTTCAAACATTTTCCAAAAAAGTGGTTAAAATTGGTTCGATCGACCTAAAATTGGTGTCAAATTGTAGATAATTTCCCGATGGTTACGAATCTGAAATCGGCGTCACGATATCTTTTTCAATAACCACAAAAAGTGCATTCAAAATTTAAAAAATTTTACAAAAAAGCGGTTAAAATTGGTTCAATCGATTGAAAGTTGGTGTCAAATTGTAGATCATTTATGGCTAATTACGAACCTGGAATCGCCGTCACGATATCTCTTTTAATAACCGCGAAAAATTAATTCAAAATTTACAAAAATTTTCCAAAAAAGTGGTTAAAATTGGTTCAATCGACCGAAAATTAGTCTCAAATTGTAGATTATTTAACGCTAATTACAAATCTGTAATCGCCGTCACGATATCTCTTTCAGTAACCACGAAAAGTACACTCAAAATTTCCAAAAATTTTCCAAAAAAGGGGTCAAAATTGTTTCAATCGACCAAAAATTGGGCTCAAATTGTAGATAATTTCCCACTGGTTACGAATCTGAAATCGCCGTCACCAAATCCCTTTCAATAACCACAAAAGAGGCATTCAAAATTTCCAAAAATTTTCCAAAAAAGTGGTTGAAATTGGTTCAATCGACCGAAAATTGGTGTCAACTTGTAGATAATTTCCCGCTGGTTCCGAATCTGAAATCGCCGTCACCAAATCTCTTTCAATAACCACAAAAGAGGCATTCAAAATTTCCAAAAATTTTCCAAAAAAGTGGTTAAAACTGGTTCAATCGACCGAAAATTGATGTCAGATTGTAGATAATTTCCCGCTTGTTACGAGTCTGAAATCGCCGTCACCAAATCTCTTTCAATAACCACAAAAGAGGCATTCAAAATTTCCAAAAATTTTCCAAAAAAGTGATTAAAATTGGTTCAATTGACCGAAAATTGGTGTCAGATTGTAGATAATTTCCCGCTGGTTACGAAACTGAAATCGCCGTGACGATATCTCTTTTAATAACCACGACAAATGGATTCAAAATTTCCAAAAATTTTTCAAAAAAGTGGTAAAAATTGATTCAATTGACCGAAAATTGGTGTCAAATTATATATAATTTCCCGCTGGTTCCGAATATGAAATCGCCGTCACGATATCTCTTTCAAAAACAACGAAAAATGGGTTTAAAGTTTCCAAAAATTTTACAAAAAAGTGGTTAAAATTAGTTCAATTGACCGAAAATTGGTGTCAAATTGTAGATAATTTTGCGCTAATTACGAATTTGAAATCACCGTCACGACATCTCTTTCAATAACCACGAAAAGTGCATTCAAAATTTCCAAAAATTTTCCGAAAAAATGGTTAAAATTCGTTCAATCGACCGAAAATTGGTGTCAAATTGTAGATAATTACCCGCTGGTTACGAATCTGAAATCGCCGTCTCGATATCTCCTTAAATAACCACGAAAAGTGCATTCAAAATTTCCAAAAATTTTCCAAAAAAGTGGTTAAAATTGGTTCAATCGACCGAAAATTTGTGTCAAATTGTAGATAATTTAACGCTAATTACGAATCTGAAATCGCCGTCACGATATCTCTTTTAATAACCACGAAAAGTGCATTCAAAATTTCCAAAAATTTTCCAAAAAAGTGGTTAAAATTGGTACAATCGACCGAAAATTGGTGTCAAATTGTAGATAAGTTCCCGCTGGTTACGAATCTGAAATCGCCGTCACAATATCTCCTTTAATAACCGCGAAAAATGGATTCAAATTTTCCACAAATTTTCCAAAAAAGTGATTAAAATCGACCGAAAATTGGTGTCAAATTATAGATAATTTCCGGCTGGTTACAAATCTGAAATCACCTTCACGACATCTCTTTTAATAGCCACGAAAAGTGCATTCAAAATTTCAAAAAATTTTCCAAGGAAGTGATTAAAATTGGTTCAACCGACCGAAAATTGGTGTCAAATCGTGGATAATTTCCTGCTGGTTACGAATCTGAAATCGCCGTCACAATTTCTCTTTTAATAACCACGAAAAATGAATTCAAAATTTCCAAAAAGTTTCCAAAAAAGTGGTTAAAATTGGTTCAATCGACCGAAAATTTGTATCAAATTGTAGATAATTTAACGCTAATTAGTAATTACGAATCTGAAATCGTCGTCACAATATCTCTTTCAATAACCACGGAAAGTGCATTCAAAATTTCCAAAAATTTTCCAAAAAAGTGGTTAAAATTGGTTCAATCAGCCGAAAATTGGTTTCAAATTGTAGATAATTTCCCGCTGGTCACGCATCTGAAATCGCCGTCAAGATATCTCCTTTAATAACCACGAAAAATGGATTCCAAATTTCCAAAAAAGAGGTTAAGATTGGTTCAATCGAACGAAAATTGGTGTCAAATTCTTGATAATTTAACGCGAATTACGAACCTGAAATCGCCGTCACCATATCTCTTTCAATAACCACGAAAATTGCATTGTAAATTTCCAAAAATTTTCCAAAAAAATGGTTAAAATAGGTTCAATGGACCGAAAATTGGTGTCTAATTTTAGATAATTTCCTGCTGATTACGAATCTGAAATCGCCGTCACCATATCTCTTTCAATAACCACGAAAAGTGCATTCAAATTTTCCAAAAAAGTGGTTAAAATTGGTTCAATCGACCGAAAATTGGTGTCAAATTGTAGATAATTTCCCGCTGGTTCCAAAAATGAAATCTCCGTCACGATATCTCTTTCAATAACCACGAAAAATGGATTCAAATTTTCCAAACATTTTCCAAAAAAGTGGTTAAAATTAGTTCAATCGACCGAAAATTGGTGTCAAGTTGTAGATAATTTCCCGCTGGTTCCGAGTATGAAATCGTTGTCACGATATTTCTTTCAATAACCACGAAAAATGGATTCCAATCTTCCAAAAATTTTCCAAAAAAGTGGTTAAAATTGGTTCAATCGACCGAAAATTGGTGTCAAATTGTAGATAATTTCCCGCTGGTTCCGAGGATGAAATCGTCGTCACGATATTTCTTTCAATAACCACGAAAAATGGATTCCAATCTTCCAAAAATTTTCCAAAAAAGTGGTTAAAATTGGTCTGATCAGCCGAAAATTGGTTTCAAATTGTAGATAATTTCCCGCTGGTCACGCATCTGAAATCGCCGTCAAGATATCTCCTATAATAACCACGAAAAATGGATTCAGAATTTCCGAAATGAGGTTAAGATTGGTTCAATCGACCGAAAATTGGTGTCAAATTGTAGATAATTTCCCGCTGGTTACGAATCTGAGATGGCCGTCAAGATATCTCTTTTAACAACCACGAAAAATGAATTCAAAATTTCCAAAAATTTTCCAATAAAGCGGTTAAAATTGGTTCAATCGACCGAAAATTGGTGTCAAGTTATAGATAATTTCCCGCTGGTTACGAATCTGAAATCGCCGTCGCAATATCTCTTTCAATAACTACGAAAAGTAAATTAAAAATTTCCAAAAATTTTCCAAAAAAGTGGTTAAAATTGGTTCAATCGGCCGAAAATTGGTGTCAAATTGTAGATAATTTCTCACTGGTTACGAATATGGAATCGCCGGGACGATATCTCTTTTAATAATCACCAAAAATGAAGTCAAATTTTCCAAAAATTTTCCAAAAAAGTGGTTAAAATT